TTCGTCGAGAGCAGACAACAGCAACGCATCTTCACGGGGAGGAGCAGCCCGGCCGCGCCACGCGGTGTTCCAGGTGCTCTCTCCCCCTTCGCCCACAGGGATCCACGCGCAGCCGCATTCACCGCCACTTCCCTCGGCGCGTTACCCCCGACAAATGCAGACCGAAGCGCCTCTCCCTCCAGATAAATTTTAACAGGGTGCATGCAACAAAGAAACGGAAATTTCTCTACTCTTCTCTTCTGCAATAAACCCACCACACAGGAATAATAGGAACGAAAAAAAAAAAAAACATAAAAGAGCTCCTGATGAAATCTTTCAGGAAATTTATCAGCCCTTGCGGCGGCATCCACACTCACAGTAGAACCCAAATCTCCCTGGCGGCGCTGAAAGTAAAGAAAAAATAAAATTAAATTAAGTTAAAATTAAAATGATCATAAGTGGTTGCCCTCTGTGAAGCGTTAACTTCTTTTTTCTTTTTCACTCAGTTCCTTCGGGATGAGGAAAAGAACCGGAAGAATTGAGGTGGGGGGAGGATGATATGAGGAGCAGGTCTTTTTCTTCTTTTTTTTCCCCCTTTTCAAAGAGGGACGGCACTCGCTCCCTCGTCTCTTCAGCCAACGGATATAAATAAACATATAAATTTGTTGAATATCGCGAACCTCGCGTGGAGTCGAACGTTCTGTCCTTCATTTCCTTCTCATTTTTTTGTATATCACTATTCTTTTCGCCTTCCTTTTCCCCTCTCTCCCCATTCGTTTCTTTGGAATGTGTTTGAGTTCTCTTCCTCCTTTTATTTCCCCCACCCCCCGCCCCTTTTTTTTTCCGCTCCACAACCGTCCCGTAAGATTTCGAACGCATCTTCAACGTATGTACGCGTGTATGTAATTGCACAATGCCCATAGTTAAGTAACCCCATGTTATTGTTTCGTCCTCTTCATTTTTGTTGTTGTTTTTGTTTTTTCTCCTGATGTTAGTAAATGATACTACGTGAACGCCCACCGGCTTACAGGACTATGTAATCTTAGGTAAATACCACAATGAAAATACAGAGATACATAAATGTCATCATCATAATCATCATCAATCCATTTGGTTTGATTTCATTCCGTTTTGTTGGTTTTATTTTATTGTTGTTGTTTTTTCGTTTTGTGTGTGTGAGTGTGTGTGTGTGTGTGTGTGTTTTTGTTTTTTCTGTTTTTTTTTTTTGTTGTTTTGTTTTGTTTTGCTTTTTTTGTTGGGCGATTATTTTGCCTCACTTGTGGTGTTTGTCCACCGCCCCCCTCACGGCAGACCGAGGAGGGAGAAGGCGGCCCACTCCTCCAAAGGTGTGCGGTCGGCGATACATTGCAGGTATGCATCCCGAACAGAGGCAGCCACACTGCACCCGCTCGCCATGGAGGCGGTCACTGCCGCCGCTGCGACACGATCGCTCGTCGGCAGACGGCTGTTGATGGCGATCAACATGCGGCACGCCCCCGCGTACTGCAACGAGCGGTACACGGGGATGCCGGTCTCATGGATGGACAACCCGCTGTAAGTCCCAACACCGGTGCAAATAACGAGTGCGTACGGGCGCATTTCCCACGTGTTGGCGATTTCACTTGACTGGCTCGCAATGACATCACTCGAGGCTCCAACGAACATGCCACAGTAATCCTCCCGTACCTCCGGCATTGCCCGAAGTCGTATCTCGAGCACACCACCCTCCGCGGCCTCCTCGTGCACCGCACGGTAGAGAGCGTTACGAACACCCCGTACCTTCCCGCGGCGGTGCAAAGCGGAAAGAAGCCGCTGCGTCGCGGCGATATCCGGGTCCTCCGATGGCAACTCGTCCTTTTCATCCTCACCGTCATGAGCATCGCCAATCCTCCGGGTCTCCTCGCCCAGCTGCTCATCACGCGTCGTTTCCACGCCCGACGCTGCGAGGTCCTCGTCTATCACCACACGACGCACGCAGACGCCCTCTTCAGCTGCCTTGGCGAGGTATGCGTCCAACAACACTGAGGAGTGCGCGGCGTCGTCAACAACGGTGCATCGCCTGGCCTCCTTTTCCTTCCCTTCCATCGCCATCGCGTCTGCAAAGTGCGTGCAAAGAAGCGCCATGGAGCAACACATGCTTGTGCAGAAGCGCTCCGCAAGGTATCGCTGCCCATCATAAAAGGCGTGAAATGGCAGACGGCTGAAAACGCCGTCGCCAACAAACATCAGCCCACTAGCGTCGCCCAGTTTCACTTCCAAGGGTTTAATGAAGCTGTCGTGTAAGAGTTTCAAGCAATAAAATTCATCGGTTTCAAGTGACTTCACACGCTCAGCATTCTCTGGAGACTGGGAAAAATCAAAAGCCACTTTTGAGTAAAGCTGCGGCCAGAGCGGGGTGTCCCCGTATATGCGTACCCCATCCTCCGTGTACATGGGCGCGTCCAGCAGCTTTGAAATGGCGTTAGGGGCACACATAAAGGCAATTATCTCTTCCTGCAAGGTTAAAGGAATTCCCACACAAGTCAGTTTTCCATCGCCATCCAGGCCTAGGACATACGCCATAAAGTCCAGCCCCTCGTTCCACGGAAGCGAGTAACACACTATTCGCCATCCACGCATCATCGGACTCCTCAAAAGCCCTTCGACGGCACTTCGGCTGACAAGCTCTGCGTCCTTTGTCTCTGAAAACACACCCGCTCGCCGTTGTCGGCGCATTAGCAAACGGGTCACTTGAGCAGTATTCGGTACGTGGCAACGATCGGAGCATTGAAGGGCCTCAAAAGCCTCATTCTTTCGAAAGTGTACCTGTTCCAAAATGCTGCAGCAGCGCCACTCCACTTCACAAAGAGCTGCCTTCACCAGGTATTGTTTCAGTTCCGCCTCATCAACACGCGCGACAGTTGCCAGAGACTCGTGCAGGTGTTGTTGTGCCTTATCCAATAGGTTGAGGCTTAACTCTGCCTCAGCCAGTTCCACTAACGCCTTCGCAAGCGTCGTTAAGTCCTGACATTGTTGTGCTTGCCGTAGCGCCCTTATACAGTAGTCATACGCCTTTTGTAGGTGGCCGCCCAACCGCCAGCAAACAGCCGCACCCGTCAGAGATTCAATCGTCTGTCTTGGATCTTGAGCGTTGTATACGGAAAGTTCCTCCATGTAGTTTTCAGCAGCCTCATCGTAGCGGCCAAGAAAGCGTTTCGTCAAGGCAATGGCACCCATGCAACGCGATGTCGCGCGTGTGTCTCCAAATTCCTTGGCAATCTCGAGCTCGGTCTCCTGCAAACTCAAAGCAGATAGCATATCACCCAGCTGGCATTTCAGCTGGGCATAGTTCTGCAGTGGTCGTTGGTGACGATGACGCGGAATAAGTGGAAGAAGTGCACGCGATGATTCGTAGGCCTGCTGTGCCCGTTCCAGCTCACCAATTGCCGAGAAGGCAATGCTCTGACAGCAATAAATATCGCAAAGCAATTGAGGCTGCTCGGTGGCTCGAGCAAGATGATCCGCCACCTCGTACCAGGCAAGGGACTCGGGAAACAGGCCAGTAATTTCGAGTGTCACGCCCATTTGCATCGCGATCCAGCCAAGCGCAGCCTTTTCATTCTTGGCAATAGCAATCGTTGCCGCACGTGTCAGGTTGATGCGTGCATCCATGGTGTCAATGACACGGGCAAAGGTACGCGTAATAGCGAGACGGGACAGCATTTCAAACAGGTCAAGCTTTTGTTTCTCCGCGAGATGAAGAGCCTTGTAACAGGTCTGCAGGCTCTTTTCCACGTCAACGCAGCTATCACCCGTCTCGAGAAGGATCGCACAGACCAATCCTGGGCACTGGTGGTAGCTGGACTCAGGTAAAAGTCGCAGCGCACGCTGCAACAAGAGCGTCTTTACATTTGACGCCTCGGATACGGTCAAAGAGCGAAGGAAATTTCGGTGGGCATTCTTTTGTCGCATGCTCACCTGTGACGAAGGCAAAAGTTGCTCACTCCGCGTGATGCTAGCAAGCGGAACTCCCATAATAGCAAATGCTGCAGGGGGCCCTTCGCTAGCGGTGGAAAGAGCACCTTGATTGGTGGATGCTGCTGTCGCTGCTGCAGTGGCACCAACTGTTGTGGCAGAAGGCGCCACGCCAATCACAAGACCCTCCAGTAATTCTTCATCGCTGCTCTCCCCCTTCGTGCGACGTGAATCCCGTGAACGTTTTGCCTTTGCCTCAATGATCACCTCATCTTTTCCGGCGTCCCCATCCTCCTTCTCCCTATGCTGCTGCTGCTGCTGTTGTTGTTGTTGGCACTGTTTGCTCTTTCCTTTTTCCGCTGTTTGCCAGCCTGGAAGTCGTACGACGGCCCCATTCTCCCGCACCTTCCCAGGAATTGTCAATGAAGCAGACTTCTTCAGTGATGCCACCGCCGCCGCCCCGGCGGAATCGGTGCCCGTTTTCCCCTGCACAATCGTCCACTTTTCATCACGCTTTGTCTTTGGTTTAGACTTCTTTGTAAAAGTAACAGATCCCGACAGTGGAGAAAACGGCGGCTGCGGCTTTGAACCTTCCTCGTGTATCCTGTTTTGAACGGCTTCATTAGAACTGCTTTGGGTATTATTCCCGTTTTCATGATTTTCGGCCCCATCATCATCATCATCATCAGAATCATAAACAGCATCCTTTTTGAATGCAGGGCGCTTATTATCCGTATTATTTTTATTATTTTCATCCATATTCGAAGTCACTGTGGTGGGTTTGATCACGTTATTGGTGATAATATGCTTTGCTGGTGTTGTCGGTGTTTTATTTGCATTTGCTGTCGCTAACGCCGTTGGCGGATCCGAAGGGGTGAAAACCCTCGGAGCAGCAATTTTGTTTGGGCGAAGCTCGGCAATCCGTTGAGAACGGGGAAGAGGAATGGATACTTTGGGCGTCACTGTGCGTGATGCCGCTCTGCAACACGTCTCCTCCTGTGTCAAGAGGATTTCCTGTGAGTCGCCCTGTGACTCCAGCGACGAGAGTGTGCCTGAGCTAACGCGCAGCGTTCCAGAGCCCGGCATCCATCCGTTTTTATTCCACGGCTGCTTCTTCCTGCACAAATCAAAGATCGCAGTAACGTCTTGTTCCAGAAGCATTGTGCTGCGATATGGTCCTTTCCTCAATGGCGTCGCGGGTGCAGGAGTCGCGGGAGCCACAGCGCTGCCGAGTGCATCGAGCTGGATGGTATTGAGATCCATGTCACCGCAGAGCGGTGTGGGCGGCCGATGCACAGCGGTAAATTGGTACGGATCATTCTGCCGACGCACTGGCGGCACATGCACACCAAGCGCCCCATCACATGATGGGTACCACGGTCGGGCGCCGGGATTCAACATCTCTAATGATATCCCCTCAGGTTCTTTCTTTTGGGTTGCGATGTGCGTCATGTCAGAAATAAAACAACACAAAAGAATAAAACGGAAAATAAAGATTTTTAAAAAAGGGAGGGGAGAATATTTCACTCATTTTACGTCACTGCAAGTTTTACATGTCTATGGCACAAAAAAAAAAGATGGCACACATCCCCCATGAAAATAGGGTAAAAGGAAAGAGATTCTGAATACGGCATTGTGGCATACGCCGCCAACAGTACACCCCCTCCCTCCCTCATCCCCTACCGTATGTGTGTATTTGTGTGTGTCTAAATACCGCTAGTGTTTTTCCCACAGTCCGCTAAGGTCCTCATCGCCAAATGGACGCGCCTTCATGCCATGCTGGCGGCGTAGTGCCTCGTGGTATTCCGCCTCCTCCCGTTTTCGCTTCGCTGCTGCTGTATTCTCTTCCGCTGCTGCAGGATCGAAAGCAGCGCCGTCGTTGCCTCCTTTATAATGGCCCATGCCGCCAACATTCAGTGGATCTTCAGAGCGGCCGGGGTTCTTCAGCACTGTCTCCTTCATCTTCTCCATAGCACGCTGGGCGCGGATGTTCTCCAACGACTTGCGCATCATGTTGAGACTGTGGGCATCCTTTGCGTCCACAGATGTATCAAAGAGAGAGCGCATCTCGGAGCTGATGCTGTAGTCCCACACGTCGCGTGTCTTAAAGTCCTCATGGTCGGCGTAGATGCCGGTAGGACTGTAGTCCTTACGCTCGCCCTGCATGACTGGTTTTCCCTCCTGCGACGCCGTCGAAAAGGCCGCAATATCACCCGGCCGATCACCATGCGTCTTTGCCGAGTTCATGTCGTATCCGAATACGTTCTCCTGTGTCTCCTGATTGAAAACCCCGCTGCGACCAAAGACGGTGCTCGTCATTTGGTCTTCCTCCGTCATCCATTTCTCCTCCATGTGCCACATTGACACGGGGACGGGAATGTGGCGTGCCAGTCTCGAGTGGTCCAGTTCCCAGTCCTTCCACTCCTTCTGTCCGCGTCCCTCTTCACGTCTGCGCTGTTGAAAGACGGTTTCCTCACGTTGCGCGCTCGGATTGGGCTCCTTCATCTGTCGCTCCACCTCTAGAAGAAAGTCGAATATGTCTGAGGCATACGCACACATGGCGGTCCCGGCCAGCTCCTTGCATTTACTCTCTTCGTGCACAGTTGCCGTCAGCATCCCAACGCAGCGTCCATTCCGCATCACGACGGAGCCACACATGCCCATGCCAATACGGCCCTTGTCCGCCCCCTCAAGCGAGGTTGTGTCAAGGAAGAAGTGCTCCCGTGTCAAAGTGTGCACCTTTGCGCGGATTCCCGTTGGCACCATGAGCGGCTCTGGCGCCTTCTCCTCGTCAAAGAGTGATTCATGTGCCGTCATGCCATAGATCCATACGTGGTCACCCACTGCCAGTGGTTCAACCAACTCAAGACGCGGGCGTATGACGTAACCCTCATTCTGCATCCACAGCATCTTCATCTCCCCACTACGCTTCAAATTTTGCTCTGGATGCACCACACAGAGATCTAACCGGGGGTTGGCGTGCACGTAAACGTGCTGGTTGGACGTAAAGTGCCTATAGACGGCGGTCCCCTGCATAGAAACGAGACGAACTTGCGTCATGGTGTCGGCCAGCGTAATGCGGGAAACAAAGCGGGTCGGTCCCTCCGTGGGATAATAATTGGGGTAGTCCCAGGGACATATCACATGGGCGCATGTGAGCAGATGCGTCCAGTGCCCGCCGTATTGTGAGAAGGTCGGCCCACGTGTCTGTCCACACCAATCCAAGGGGATGCACGTTGCATCCATCAGCCGACGCCAGCGATCCGTCTCCTTGTGGCGCCACTTGAAGCGTGTCTGTACCGCCATACACCAAGGCTGGAAGCGCACCATTGCCACGGCCTGCCGTTTGAGGAAAAAAGTTTCAAGAGGCAGAAAAGAAAACAAGGCGCATACATGACGATACAAATGCTCACATGTATATGAGCATGTGAATGCATGTACATGCGAATAAAGAAAGAGGGAGGAGCATAGCGAAAAGAAAAAAGGAGGGTGGAAAGATAACACTACAGCTGCAGCGAATTAGAAATCATAAATACAACAAATTGAATGAAAGTCATACGGAATAAAAAAAAATGCACAGCGAATATTACCGCTTAACATCTTTACCACCACAATTCCTTTTGTTGTTGTTTTTCTGTTTCCGCTCCTACTTCCCCTTCCTTTCTTGCATCTTCTCCTCCATTTCATCCTATTCGCATTCCTCTCATGCACACGCAGTGGCAAAACATTTATAGATGTATATATATATGCCACTCACATCATGGGACTGAAGTCTGGCAACAAAAGAAACAAAAACTCGAGGCATCTCCATCACTCAGCGCGCATCAGGACGACAGCGCGAGGAAGAAGCACCGGCACATCGCCAAAAGTCCTGTCGCCGTCCAAATCCAGCGGGCGCGGTGGGTATCCGGCAACCAGCTGAAACCCGTCGCCATCATAATCCTCCAGCGACATCGCGTAGTCCCGCATGTGGCGGAGCTTCTCAGTGCGATAGAAACGGCGATGATATTGCTTTCCGCGAAGCGACTTGAGACTAATGAACGCGACGGTCGACGCGTCGGCATCGGCGGGGGGCTCCACCGGGAGCCGTGCGGTTGCGGCCGCACGCAATTCCTCCACCCGAGAGCGACGCCGCGCCTCCTCCTGCTGCTGCCTCCTCCGCATCTCTTCCTCCTCGCGCCGTTGCCGCTCCGCCGCCTCCCGCTCGCGCTGCAGCCGCTCTTCCCGCTCCCGCCGCTCCCGCACTTTTTCCTCGTACCGTCGGATGCGCTCGAGGTCGATTGCACGCATCTCGTGGGCCCGTTGCTCCTCCTCGCGGCGGGCGCGCTCCTTCTCCTCTCGCTCCAGTCGCTGGTGGACCTCCTCCGCCAACCGCCCGTCCCAGTGCTCGAAGGCCATTTGAAAATTCCGCACGAGGTCCTCGGCAGGGAGGAGACCTTTTACCTTCAGCACGGTGCTGCGCTTCAGCATGACAGCAAGGAAGGGGAACGTCGTCACCTGCATCTCACCTTCCAGTCGGCGACCCTCCAGCTCCAAGACTGAAGCCCCAAACAACACAAAACGAGTCCCAAAGAGCTCCCGCACCTGCGGAGCTGACAGCACTTTTGTCAGAAATTCATGTGTGTCCTCATGCGTCGGGGAATGAATGTACACAAGGAGGTACAACCCCCTGCGCTGCGCCTCTCGCCTCGCCTCATCCATTGAGTCGTGGACCATTGGAAGCTCCACGCCGTATTCGCGAAAAATATTGTTCGAAAAACTTGTCCCTAACATGGCCTTATATAAACTGTTGGCGAGAAGCAACAAAAGGACAGGGATCGAAGCAGCTTGGAAGAAAACAAGGCAGAAAGTATCCAAACAGACGGTGCAACACAAGGGCAGTGACTCGCACACACACACACAGCAATGCAAATATGCCCCCTTTCCTCTCTCAATTCGAAAGAAAAAGAAGACAACGGGTCGCTCCAGCCACAACATAACATGACATAAGACGTCACGGTGTAGTAGTACCGCCACCCTGCAGGACTCCGGTGTCGACGCTGCCTAAGATCTGCTGCGCGATGGCATCAGGTGGGGTGTCAATCACCGGCCCGTACGCGTCTAATTTCATCTGTGTCTTCTTGTCCTCGATGTGTATGTCGTCCCGCTGCGCCTCCTCCTTCATGTGACGGAGGTACATGTGGTAGTCAAACATGTGCGGACGCTTGTTAAACACCTCCACCCACGTCTCGTAGAGGTGCGGCAGGGTGTAGTACTTGAGGAGCATCTGGGTGATAAAGACGCAATCCTGACGAACAAATATCTTGTCCTTGATTTCGCACCGCACCAGCACAATACGCTTCGTGCGTGAAAATTCAGTAAAGAACTGAATTGTCATGTCAATCTGCGCGTGGTCCTGTTTTTTCTGCCACTCAGCAAGAGGAGCGACGCCAACGAGGTCCTTGTCCCAGTTCGTCACAACGTTGAAGAGCCCCTTCATGCGGAACACAGGAATCACAAAGTAGGAGCACTTCTGCAGACGGGGCCGCAGCGCATCATAGGCATCAGCTGATATCACGCGGCCCCAGTACTGCACAAACTGCTTGTGGTGTTCGTTCCATATCGTCGCCACTTGTGCCGTCGGTGTCGCCTCAAGAAGGCTCAACTTGCAGATCTCATCCAGCGACTTTCGCCCGGGCAGTTTGTAGAAGCCGTGCAGTGCCCAACTCTTGCGTAGCATCCCCTCCCCTCCCCTCCCTTGTACGGTTCCACAGCAACAGCAGCAGGAACAGCGGCACTGCTGACGGTTATGGCAAATGAGGAAAAAATAAATGAAAAAAAAAGTGTTGAGCTTGATCCATAAAACCATCGCAGAGAAAACAGCAAGATGCAGCGAACCGACACACGCGCCTTGCGTAGGAAGAAAGAAAAAAAGGAAGAAAATATATAGCAATCATAATAACAAGATAAAAAAAAAGGAGGACCGGCACGACGGCCCGAGCATCTAAAAAAATAATGCGGTCTAACTGCGAGCAGAGACCGTGTCTCAGTGTGTCTCTCTAAGCTCCTGCTTCGCCTCCTCTACTCTTATTCTCCCTTCACCCTTCTTGTCGTCCCTCTCTTCGTTAATCACCGCCCTCAACCTCTATCGAAAAACAGCACGCCGCGGCGCGTGAGTGGGCAATTCGCGTTGGTGCATGCGGCTGCTGGCGGTGGGGGTGCGATACAGTCGCTCGCAACTGCCGCGTGAGCTGCACCTCGACCCGGAGGTGCTGCTGCAGCGGCTGCTGCCCCTGTCCCCCCATAGTCGCTTCTTCGTCAGCGTCGCTCCATTTCTGTCGCCATTGCTCAACGAGCGGGCACGCGATGATGCCACGGCGGATCTTCCCTGCCGACCGCCGGTGCGTCCGCGCGGGGCGGGCGAGTCACCCAAAAAACGCGAAGATGATCGCCGTGGCGCCGGCGACGGTGTGTCGAAGCGGGAGCGTCGCTTCACTTTCTCGCTGTGAAGATTTCTGTCGGGCCGTGGGGAGGAGCGCAGCGTCCGCTGCTTCAGCCGCATAAATGCCGCATGTGCCTCGTCTCGTTCCGCCTCCGCTTGCCGCAGCCGCGCTCGAAGTCCCGCCAACTTCTTTTTGAGTCGCTCCACTTCACACGCCCCGTCGACACGCTGCTGGAAATCCTCGCAGAGACGCTGCATCTCCAACATCTTCTCCCTACTCAGCCGAGCCAAGGCCTCATTCTCACGTCTAAGTTTCTCGTTCTCCGTCTGGAGCTGCGCATTGCTGGGTTTACTGGCATTGTCCGTCCCCAATTCTATCAATCCACTGTGCCGCGGCGTTGTCCGTTGTTGCTGCTGCTCGGTGGGTGGTACCGAAGGCATGCGCCTCAAGTCCATGGTCCCATTCATTTCCGCCGTCGTCATCTGCACGAGAGGCACAGGGAATACGGCACGTGTGAAGTCCACATCGTAGTCTAGAGTGAAAAATCGCTGCATGCGAGACGCCTCCGAGAGCTGGCTGGCGTCACTTTCGTCAATGATGGAGTCGGACGTGCCGTGGCCGCGCTGCGCCACCTCCGCTGTGATGCGGCTTTTCATCTCCTCACACGTCTCAACAAAAAACTTAACGCTGGGGGAGCGTCCAATCATGGCGTTGTATGTCATGTCCGCGAAGCCGGCAAACTCCTTCCGCACCCCCGCCGCTGTTGTGATCTCCAGCACGTGGCTCTCACGCAGCACCGCAACGTAGTGAACGTCCGACGAGGGCTCGAAGGCAGACGTCTTCGGTATCACATCGATGCTCATCGACTCGCCATAGTTCTTGTACCGGACGAGGTAGCGACCGCACGGGGAGTGGACGCAGCACTCCATTCCCCAGCCTTCCCGGAAAAGGGGACAAAAAGGCAATAAATAAATATATGCGCGCACGCTCTGCTCAAAAAAAAAAAAAAAAGAGAGAGAAACCACATATTATTTAGCACGCATAAAAAGAAGGATCAAACGCAATCCACAGCAATAACGATACGCGCAAAAAATTTATCCCCCCCAACGGAATCAACACCCTTATCATATCCTAGCTCACATGCAGACTCGCGCACAACCACAAGAAAAAAAAAATGTTCCGTGAATTCATCTAAAGCCCGCCCCTCTCTTCCGCCCGGTGCACGATACGCCGGCGTTTCTGCATGGCTCCGTTCCTTGCCGAATTCTGCAGAGCACCTCAGCCGTCCCAGCCTCGCGGCCAGTGCTTCTGCCAAGCCGCAATCGCGGCACTCGCCAAACTCACAACGGCCAAGCCGAGTGGGTGCAAAGTGAATAGAAGCCCGGCAAGAGAAGCTCCAAAAGCGAAAATCACAACTCATCTGCTACATCGCGGCGACGCAGTAAATTCGGCGGCCGTTGCTTCGCCAGTTCGAAATGCTCCGCACACACACGGTAGCGCAATCGGTAGAAGGCATCCACGTCTGCCGCCGTCATCCCCTGCCAAAGGCCGCCAAAATTTAACTCCAGATGGGCACTGAGGATCACGTTAAACGATCAATTGCGACTAACCGTCACGCCAGGACGGCACGACCTGAAACAGTAAAAATGTTGCGGGAGATGAGAATGCTCCGATGGGACACATGTCGCTTGCGTCAAAAAACGGCGTGTGATGCGTTGCGATATCCTTCGTGCTGGCCCCCGCAGCGCTCACGCTGCATCACACTCGGCAAAGGCATTAAGCGCAATCGTCCTCGCTGCACCGTTAGCAACTTTTTTTTTTTCTTTTACCAGTCGTAGTAACTACACCTCAATTGTGCAGCTCTGGTAAGCGTACGAAGGAATTCAGTAGCAAGGATAACCTTACTCCGCGGGCAGCCACTATAGAATGGCTCCAACATCTGCCCTTCCGACCCGTAAAACTAAGTAACAACCACTCATCGGGTTTGAAGCACGAACAGCAGGCGCTTAGCTTCCTCTCTAGCAAAGAGCCCTAGACCCTGGCACCACGTTGAGGTGGCCGGCTGAGCCAGGGCCGTTAGCAACTCATATAGAGGCTCAAATCTGAGGCAACAGGGAGCAGAGGAGTACGGACGTGTAAAAGGGGGAATTTTCATTGAGTGAGATTCAGTTGTGCGGCAAGCTCCCGCCAGACCGCCTCTTTGCCGCCATTAACGTTTTTTGGAACTCACGTTGTTGCATGCGCAGAAACTGCTCCGCCGCTGAACTCAAAACCAAACAATTCTCACGGGATGGCGGACCCTTCTGCGTCAGAAGAAAACGCATCCACACAAAGAACAGCAAACGCCATGCCCGGCGCGATTCCACCAGCAGCTGACGAGTCCGTCTCATCTCTGGCGTGGTCGCTGGGCACGCCTGATGTACAAGTGCCATCGTCTGACCTCGGCGCTCCGCTCCTCCCTCGTCCATTTGCATAATGGCACGAAACAACCCCCCGCAGGGTCCCAGAGGGGAGAAAAGCCGTGCGCATCCGTCAAACTTGGCAAAGGGACTTGACACAAAATCCATGAGAGTGAAGTGGCAGGTAAGTACCCAGCACTTATCCTCCACTTCGCGAAAAGCGTTACCACCGCGCCTCCACTCAGCATGTCGCGCATCCCAGTCACTGACGATTTTTGCCTGCCACGCGCCAAGCTGTTCGAGAATCTCTGCCTCTCGCCTCTCCCGCCACATCTCGCGACGACCGCACGCATGAAGCTCCTCCAACGTGCACATGCCACTGCCGAGGGTGATGCCATCCATAGCCCGCATCACGCATACGCGAGAGAGAGCCGCCGCGAATTCCTCGACGCGATCGTCCAGCATTTCTCTCCAAAGACCCCCCCTTCACCATGCACCACCACTCCCTATTTGTACACAGAAAAGGGAAAAAAACGGGAAAGAAAACGGGCACGAATTTACATGCACTACCGTCACACAAATAATCCCACTGGAAGCCTCAAAGACGGCGCAAAATGCTATGGAAAAAAAAAAAAATTTTTTTTAATTAAAAAAGAATTTAAAAAAAAAAATTTAAAAAAAAATTTGCAGAAGAACAGCGGGAGACCTCACTTCTTTTTGGCCTGGTGGCGAAGGGCCTCCTCCATCTTGGCACGTCTCTTCTTGGCGGCCTTGAAGTTGCCAAGGCGCTTCTTGCAGAACTTGAGTGCACGCTTGTCCTTGCCAACGCGCAGCAGCTCCTGCACGCGCCTTTCCATGGGGGAAAGACCGACAAGATCCGTGATTATCGCCTTCACCGCCCGCAGTTTCTTGTGCGGAAGGGCGTAACGATCATTGGAGGAAGGGGCTCGAGCGCGGCGGGTGGTCTTGTGGCCCTTGTTGAATCCAGCAATGATGCCCGTTCGCGGCGCGGGGGCCTCTGCCTTTGGAACCTCTTTCTTTCTGGCGGGCATGCTCTTCCCTTGCTGGTTTAAAAAATAGAGGGAAGCGAGTATTAGCACTCCAATGACAAACGGGCACACACCCAGACACCAGGGAAGAAAACGCAAGAAAGACTCACTCACACACGTAACGAAGAGCGTGGGCAAGCCAAAAACACGGCAATAGGGAAGGTACTTCCATGGAAAACAATAAAAAACAAAAAAAACAGACAAATGGAAGGCCAACGCGAAACCTGAGTCAGGGATCTTAACGCTTGCGCAGGAAGACCATGCGGTTGTTGCGGCGCCACGCGGCGCGGACTGACGGACGCAGCTTTGACGCCTTGTGGCCCTTGTGGCGCAGTCCGCGGTGCTTGCGACCCGCCGACGTGAGGCCACGCTGTTCACGGTGCTTGTGCACTGCGTTCACAATCCAGTTGATGCGTGGGTCGCGACGAATAGTGCGGCACATTGGGTCTACTGCAACCACCTCATACCACACGAAGGTCGAGTCGGCATTCACCCAGTACGAGTTCAGCACACGAAGGTTGCCGTACTTTTTACCAAGCCGCTGCTCTGCAATGGCGCGACTGTTCTTGTTGAGCTTAACACCCAACACACCACTCGTCTTGGGCTTACCGTACGTGATACCCTTGTGCACAGGACGCTTGCGCCCACCGCGGCGAACACGCACGCGAAACACGGAGAATCCTTGCTTTGTCTTGTATCCAAGCATGCGAGCCTTCTCCGGACGCGTAGGACGACGCAGACGCACAACTGTGTGCTGGTGACGGAACTCCCACGCGCGCACACGCTGAATGAAGCGCATCACATCGGAAGACTTCTTCTTCCACAATTCGTTCAGGTACATAAACGCTCCCATTTCGCTGACCTTTCTATGACAAATGCAACACACAACAACAAAACCCGTTCAGTAATAATAATAATAATAATAATCGCAATATTAAAAGCCAGCGCCTCCAACATCCGTCCCAGTAACCAACAGCAAAAATAAAAGGTCAAAAAACTACAAAAAGAAATTTTTCAAAAGAATAAAAAAAAAACAGATTTGCTCCATCAATCACCTTTTCGGAAAAGCTTTTACTTCGACGCACGTTCGCGGATGCTCGCAACCAAAAATGCGATTTTCTCCTTGGCGGCGGCCTTCTTCTGGGCGCCAGTCCGTTTCGGCGTGTTGTACTTCTTCACCGCAGCTCCCTCCTTGCGCTCCTTCCTTGCGCGACGCTTCATTGGATCCGCGCGGATAGCAGCGTGCGCCTTCTTGTACATGCCCTCGAGCTCGTTGGGAACAACCTTGTCCTTGATGTACTTTGAAAACTGGCACGTGCTCTCCTCGGGGTTGGAGCTCGCCTCCTCACGCACCTGCTTCAGGTATTCAGCAACGTGCAGGCCCAAGATGCGGTCGCGGTGGGCCTTGGCGTTGAGCGAGTCCTTCTCCTTGTCGTAGCCGGGGAAGCGGTTCGGGCGGTGAGGCACAGCCAGGCCGCCGTCCACCGCACCCTTCATGACACCAAACACACGAGCACCGGTCGTCGTGCGGGCGAGTCCAACGTCAAGAATGGCCTTGAATGGGAAGCGCTTCTCGTCGTCGCCCTGATCGTCGGCCTTCGTACGCACGGCCGAGTAAGAGCCGTCCGCCTCCTTCGTGCCCTCGAACTTGTTCGCGAGGCCAAGCTTCGTCAGCATGCGCCGCGCAACCAGCAGACCTGTCGCGTACGCCGCCGCGTAGTTCGTCAGGCCGTGCTGGATTCCAAACTGCGGGAGCTCGTGCGAGTATGCCGCCATCACAACCTCATCACCCACAACCTTCGCCTGCACAACCTGCGCAATGATGTCGCGGTTCGTGATGCGCACCACCAGACGGTACTTGGGCGTTCCAAACTTGGTCTTGTCCTGCAGCACCATCTGGCGCCGCGCCTGGTAGTCCGTCTTGCCCTCGCGGCGGCGGCGGTATTTCACCTGGAAGCGCTTGAAGTACGCCTTGTTCTTCACAACCTTAACGAATGGCATGCTGTTATGAAAATCCCTGGAAAAGCACAAAGAAAAAAAAATATTATGAGGGATAATATCAAGGAACAGGTGATAATAACCATTAAAAAAGAAAGGGGTAATAGAAGGGGGGGGGGGGGGAATGTGGCACTGTGCAATGAGAGAGCAAAGCAAAAATAAATTGGATGAAGCGCAATCAGCTTGAGGGATGCAACAATATTAAATGCAAATACAAAAAAAAAAAAACCTAAATTTACATTTGCGCAACCCCAATGACGCATTTATCTTCAAAGGCTAAAGGCATGCCTTTTTAGGCGGCGCAACTCCTCCTCCAGCAAGGTGATTTGATGTGTCTTTTCTTCCAGATTGCGGACATGTTCTTCCACTACTTGCTGTAATTGATTGGCCTCATGAACCGCTTTTTGCCACAAGTCCTCAATGTTTCTAACATACTCAGCTGCCTCTCGAAAGATTCCCTCAGTTGTCATGTGTTTCCGTGGAATTCCTTTGGGATCCCCAATGATACTCGGGCTGTTTCCTGAGGCTCGAAGTATTGTTAGCTTCCTTGGCACGGAGGCCAGCGTGTCTAAGGAAGGCGCAGACGTGACAGTCAAACCTGTCCTTGGTAGTGTGGAGGCTCGAGCAAGTGGCTTGAGGATAGATGGCAGGCGGGAGCAATGGCGCAGTGTCCTTACCGCTGGGCTCCATGACATCTTAACAAAAACGTCTCGCGGGTACCGCGGAATGAGACCCTCGCAAAGAATGGCAAGGGCCCAGACGTGGTGCTCGTCAAAGGATGTAAAACCCTGCGGCATCCCGGCCGGCTTTTCAGCCACCAACACACAACCGTAGTTACCAATAGGCACAACTATACCGCTTTGAACACGCAAATGGCAACGCAAATGTGCTTCAAAAGGACGTGAGTGCCCATTGGCTTCTCTGTCGTCTTTGTTGGGGTGCATTTTGGTGTTGTTAAAGTTGACAGCCATGCCACCTTGCACAGCGGTAATAAGTGTACTGGAGTTGGCATAGCTGACCTCAAGAGGCAACTTATCGTCTGCATGGATTTGTGCCACACGGCACAGCATGCGGGGATTTTCGGAGACGTCGCCAATGTAAACTGCAGCGCGGACAGCATTCACTCTTGTAAGTACCGATTCCATCATCAGAAACAAACACGTTTGCAACAATGTCGTCGCTCCACGCAAATCAGATTGGTGACTAGTTAAAGAGTTGATATTTTTTTGCATGCTGCCATTAATTTCAGGAATCTCACAGCTGCGAGACGCGGCATTGGTGTCACCCGCCCGCACTTCATTTTTACCCATCACTTTAAAGAAATCTGGCACCACGCTGCGTGTTCGAAGAAGCCCCACGACAGACGAGGCCTCCTTCTCTCTCATATGGTTAAAAAACTCACCCATTTGCGCCTCAATGGCGTCGGCCAGCCTCTCGGCGGCGGCGGCCAACTTCTTCCCAATGTCACCTAAAACGGCCGCGGTATCCTCACCAGACTGCTGTGACACCGTAATTGTGCCGTCATCAGGGCTAAAAGAGGCATGTGGAGAGGTTTTCACAGCTCCCAGTGCCTTAGCAACACAATGAATCGCCTTAAGTTCTTTAATGACCTCTGGACCAAGCACGCCAGCCATCATTTATGGTTCTTCTACTAACAAATAAAATCAAAAACAACACCCTATTCAGTAATATCTATATTTATAACTATGTGAAGTGCACCTCGGTGTAACGCCGAGGCGTGCCGCTGAGTCAGTACAAAATGTGTGTCTATAATTTAAAAAAACTGGGTACTGGCAGCGCTTTGGTTACACTGCAAAAAAGAGATGCAAAAAATAAAATTCCAAAATAAAGCAAAATGTAAAAGACAGAACCCAAATGACAAGAAAGGTACATGCTGTTTTATGTTGTTGTTGTTTTCCTCTCTCACTTCTCTCTTCTCTCTTCTCTCTTTTGCTTCAGAAAAAAAAAAAAAGAACGTTTCTTGGTCCCGTTGCGGTCGTCACGACATCCATGGCTTTTCCCCGAGTGGTCCATCTTACTTTACGCCCCCTGCCCAGAAAGACAAGAAAAAATGAAAAAAGAGGATCATTGACGTGCGCAGTGGCGCATGAGAGAAAAATAAAGGGGTGAACTCGTGAGGCAAACAATACACAAGCAGAGAGAGAGAGAGAGAGGCAGAAGGAAAAATCAATAATAATGATAACAGCAAGCACTTTCATCACCGCCAACGGCAACAGCAGAAAACATAACTTGTTTTTGTTTATTTTTGCATATTCTTGGACATCCCCGCGTCTCAATGCACTCCGGAGAAAAAAAAAGGGATGTAAAGAAAAAAAAAACTGATTATTTCCGCCTTTAATGAAAAGGGTGCCTGCATGCTTATTTTCCACCTGTCCACGCACTCCACATCACATTGTTCTTACAACGCACATATGTTTTCTTAGACGCGTTTCAATCAATGAGACGCTTCTTCCGGAAGTATGACTTCAGGTGACGTAATTCCCAGACAGAAAAAACAACAAAGATGAAGATGATGAACGCAGTGAACCATGTCACCTTAAACGTCATTGCCTCATTTGCGTTGCGCATCTCCGCCTCCTTCTCCTTGTAGTACAGGTACTCAGAGTGGATAGAGCGCACCGCGTCCTCTAGCACGCGTAGCTCGACCTCAATGGGCCGGAGTTTCTCTTTTGTTGCCAACTCCGAGTAATCATTATTTTCGCTTCCAACGCGAATATCCACGCTAATGCTGCGCTTCATTCCCTCAGTCTGCCTCACACCCTGCGCCAGTCGAGAGTAAAAGCAAACCATAAAGTCACCACCCTCGGCGACAAATTCATGAAAGTTGCCACGATCCTGTGCCGTGGACTTGTAGTATACATGATCCACAGGGCCTGTCACAACAACATCCACAAACTGTGCATACCCTGGTAGCGCCGCAAACGAGATGAGCAGTTCAGTACTGCTTGGAACCTCCTCTATAAAGCACCGTTGCTTATTGGCTGGCAAATCAAAGGCGAAAGCGTGAGCACGAAGCGCACACATCCATAATATCACGGTGACACTCAAAATAAAAATATTTACGTTGTGGCGCATTCCCTCTCCTTTTTTTTTTCTTATTGACCAATTGTTTGTTTGCCTGTTCGCTTATGTTCTTTCTTTTCCTTTTCACTTCTTTCGTCAGCGACAAAAAGCAAGACAAGGCAAACGGTCAGAAGACAAAGCACAAAGAGGAGGCGCGGTCGTTTGCACTGAAGCAAAAATGACAAAAAGAAGGGGGAAGCGATAAATAAATACATATCCTCTTTCCCTGCAGAGGCGAGGAATGCGAGAAGAAAAAAAAAAATTTTTAGACCGCTGCAACCACAAACCACATCACTGCTGAGAACATCTCATAGACTACCGCTGGGTGAAGACAAGCCCGAGTTGCCCACCATAGGCGTCCTCGCAACGCAAAGAGAATGCAAATTCGTCGGCGGTCCGCCACTTGCTGGGGAGTGTGGCTGCCAGCACACGGGGAGAGTCTCCATCCTTTCCGTATCACCCTGCAACCGCGTGAGAGTCACGTTCAGCTTATATTGCTCTTTGAACCAGTGAAAAACACCCTCGTCGCTTGCGCCGCGGCCACATGCATGCCCTTTTCGGTACACCTCAGTGCTACGACGCAGCGGCCTGTACAGGAAGATGTAGAGCACCGCGAGGTGGATGATCCACACAACAGGGATCATGATAGCCACAAATATATTTCTGCTGCGCAAATTTCTTTGCTGCGCCGCTGGTATGTCCACAACAATAAACAGGAGCACAGACACAAGGCACATAACGAGCCATCCGCGAAAGTGTTTCATTTTCGCCAAAAGGAAAATAAGAAACTAAAGTAATAGGGGAGGAAGAGCAATGCACTACGCCACAGATCCAAAATAAAAATAAAAATAAAAATAAAAACAAAAAGAGAGATTGAAAGGCGCTTGAGCCTTAATAAGTTCCTCGAGGGTTGCCGCTCGATCAACAGGAAAAGCAAAAGAAACCACTGGAACAGAAACAACCCAAAAAATCTGGCCAATATTACCAACCGTCCGTGTGCCTCAAAAACGAACAAAAAAATACATCGTACACATATTATTGTCAAACTTTACATCCACGTGCTCATTACAAATGGGCGGCCCCATTGCGCCCCACACCCAATGGCCCAAGAACCCAGAGCGTGGCCGGCCCAAAAGGGAGCGGGTGCGATGGCCAAAAGAAAAATCTACCCATTTACAAACGATCCATCGCAACCCACTCATGATCCACAAGCAAACAAAAAAAAAGGAATATCAGCATTACGCAATCCCGACTGAAGAAAGTAATATGCAATTCACCCATCTTTGTCCAGATTATTTCCCCAATCTATCAAAATTAAGGAAGAAACAAAAGGGCCATGAAGGGCAGACACATGTATACAAATAGGAAGGCAAGATAGAAGCGCAGATTTTGGTAAAACGACTGTGTATTTACCGAGTCAACAAAGAAGAAAACAAAAAAAACATTTAAAAAATCCTCCTCTTTTTCCTCGTTTTTTTTTTTCCTTTTTTTTTTTTGTTGTTGTTGTTGCTAAAGAAATATTATCGTGCTTCAACACCATTCGGCAAGAAAGATTCGTCAGACGGAAAGTAGAAATCAGAAAGAAATCGGCAATTTATGACGGCTCAAACCATATATATATATATATACTAATATTTTGGTCTACATGGGGTGATTTGCCAAATATTCTGAAGCAACAACAAAACCAAGATCATTGAGTGGATGACCTGGACCAACGGGAAGCTGGCCATTAAAGAATCGCTTATAAATTTCCAGTGCCTCCGCTCCCGTTGTTACAAGCCACGGAATACTGCAAATCCACTCTGATCCTTTGATTGTTCCACTCCGCAGATTTTCCTGGTAGCGTCCCGTGATTTTATTTTTGAAGTGTTCCAATGTTCCAAAGAGAATGACAGGATTCGGGGGTACGGAACTAACTTTCCGACGGACCTCCTCAAGTGCGTACTCAAAGTCAGTCCCAATGCCTCCAGTCAGAAAAATGGGGAAGTCCAAATTAAAGTCCGATTGACGCTCCACAAGCTTATTCGAACGGTACGTCATGAAAGCCTCAATATACGGGTTATTTCTCTGCTCATTGATCGTGGCTCCAGGTTTGTGGGAGAGGGAGCCAAAGTCAACAAACAGACCACACGACAAGATACCAAGCGACTTGGCAACCCGATTGCCCACTTCCATGGCACCAGGACCTCCACCAGTGACAAGGGCGAGGGTCTTGCCGGGATTCAAAAGAGGATGGTTACAGTACTGTCTCAAACGCAAAATACCGTTAAAAAGGAATCTGAGCTCAGCCTCAAAATCGCCTTCCATCAGGTTGGAGCCGTAAACACCAAAGAAAGTGGCAAGCAGATATTCCTGCCGTCTCTCCACAGGGACAAAAACCCCACAATCACGGTCCTGGCGCCGAATAAATTGGTAAATTTCACCATGCGCCTCGTCCACATAGAAAACCAAAATCCCAAACGTATTCAAATCACAAAGAAGGCCACTGTCCTCTTGGCTAAAAAACTGCCCGTGATGCCGTGAGGCCTTTGAAAAAAAAATTGCACGCACCTTCTTTCCGACGGAACAGGACAAAATCAATGACTTTAAAGACGGAGATGGAAAATAGCGTGTCATGAGGACACCATCGCTCGTAATATCGCCAGCTGCTATGGCGGAAAGAATGCTGTATTCACATTCCTGGTAAACTGCTTGTTGTGCAATCTCTTGTTGGCGCCCCGGATCTTCGTAGCCAACATAAGGCAGCGGCTTCGGGTCCGCCACGACCCAGTCCGCTGATGTCAACTCACTGAATTGGCCACCTTTACAAATATATGTGCAGCAGCATTCATTACCCCTGGGTGCCGTTCTAAATACGGAAAGGACATCAGCTTTACATCCACACCGCTGTGAAAGTGTCTTCCGCAACGAAAAGGGTACATGCTCTCGGTACGACTCCAGGGTAAAAAATTCAATTGGAACATGCGTCAGCTCCACTGAAGATTCACCGTAGAAAACAAAGGTACGCTTCTGTAATTTTTGTTTGAGGCCTGTGTCGGGCTCAATAACACGTGAACTCATTGATTTAAGACCCTTAGGAAGAAGTTCATCCACCACACGCCCAAATAGCGTCCGAAGATGCATCGCAAGGCCACGTACGAGTAAAACTCCCTCAGGTGAGGCCACACGAGTGTAGTTCAGACGAAACTCTTGGTGAAGGCGCAGTAACTCCTTGTAACGTGTCCGGTGCTTTAATGCTGCTCCAATGGTCGGAAGAAGGCCATGCACCTCGCCACTATACGCAAAGGTGCCCTCAAGAATGGGCAGAAATGCAACCACGCGACCATCCACTATTTTCAGCTCCCAGTCTGGTTCAGAAGAGTCACCATAGTTGAGGAGAAAATGGCCCGCCTGGTCCAAGGTTTTGAGCAGGCGGTTAATATAGCTTACATTCCGCACCCTCCGAACCTCCTCCAAGGCAAAAAGTTTCCCAATATAGGCTCCTTCACCAATGTAATCCAACATGAGCACACCAAGGGGTGATAAGGCAACCAAATTCATGCGAATCTCGGCCCGTAAAGCACCCCGATCAAGGTTAATCTTAATATCCTCGGCGTTGATACCCAGCTGTGTTAGTGAGGATTTGAGAACAAACTCAGATGCAACATTATCAACAAATCCGCGGAACTTTTTATGGATCCTATCGCGAACAGCAAAAACCTCGGTGAGGTGGCGGCTCTTTCTTTCCAATGATATGATGCACGCGTCCTCAGTAACCAAGTCAAACGGGTTAGAAAGTCTCCCACGAGTAGAGCTGTAACTTTCAGCCTCTTGGCCACGTTGAAGAACGAAGTCAGGAAGCCACTGGGACGACATTAATATACCTTTTGCGATTCGCTCTTACGCTATCACCTTTTTTTTTTTCTTTTCCTTTTGTTTTTGTTAAGCAGAAACTGGTGTTAAACAATGATACAGAAAAGAGAGAGTGAGAGAGAAGAGGTTTTTGTGTGTGTGTGTGTGTGTGTGTGTAAAAAAAATGTATTTGCTCCAACGCTTAAATCAGGTGCATGAAGAAAGCCAAAAGGGGTAAGATGCACAAAATGAGCAGCAACAACGATGGTACCATTGCCGTACTACAAACTTTGGTGCTTCTCTTAACCGAGATATTTAGTGAAACACTCGGAATGAAGGTGTTGTGACTGTCTCCTCCTACGCCCTCCCTCTCTCCCACTCCTTCTTTTAACGCCGACGACGTGCATTCTTCCCAGGGCGTCGCTTGGAACCACCAACGCCACCAGGGCGTAGATTTTTTTGCTTTGGCGTCCTCACCCTGTGAGCAGTATGTGCACTTTGAATGCCCTTGGCATCACCGTCGTCCAGTATTTCTTTCAACTCTTCGTTACCTTTCCGTTTTCGCCGCCACTCCGTGATGCGTTCTCCCATCTCTCGTTTATATTTGGCCCGCTGGCGAAGCAGCTCCGCCTGGACCTCCTTACCGTACTTCTTCTGATCCTTCATAGCACGTCGGTGGGCTTGTGCTTCAACGCGGGCCTTGGAGTCCTCAATTGCCGCCGCAATGCGGCCCATCTGAACGTCGTCCTTAAACATCTCCGCGTAGTAATCAGCTGGACGCCTCCACGGTACTGCAGCCTCTTCCAAGAGGGAAATGCCACGCGAAACGGACAACAAGGCCTGTTGAATAAAAACCTCTTCACGCCTTGGGTCATCATCAGCATTGAGGTCCGCTGGCAAGGACTTCGTAGATGTCAAAGCCATTCGCTCCACCCATTGCGCCGGCTCACTGAATTCGACTGCCGCAGTTTTTTCTCCCTCCGCATTATTTTTCTTCTTATCATTAGGAGCCATTTTACCCTTACGTCTCGCTTCATTTTTCTCATTCACTTCCTTTGGCGTGCCATTTAACTTGACGACAGCAGGACGCTTCTTCCTGGCAGCCACGTCGTACACAGGCATAGCTCTATCCTATGATTTCACAACAACAAAAGGAATAATATTGGTAAATAACCAACCAATAGAAAGAAATTAACATAAGGCCCTACGGTAAAAAGAAAATCATGACATATCTCCACTTTTTCAAAATACCACACATGGAAACAAACACATACACCCTCACAGCCTTTTGGGCGAGTGGAGGACGCAGTGAAAAGCACACAGATAAACAAGAAAAAAATGAATAAATATGGCCATACATTGAAGAGAACTAATTCCACCTTTACATCTTATAGAAACTGCAGTGTGCTACCCACTTACCCCAGAAATGCCGTTGCCCCTCAGGTACGCCTCATACGTAGACACTATCACCTGCTGCTTCGCAGCCAACTGAGTAATCAGATGCTGGAGGTCGCCAATAATGGCATCCTTTTCCAACGATAAGTCACGCACTCTATGTTCAATTTCGCTTATGCCCTCAGGGTCTATATTGACCCTTTTCAGTAACTCTGTTAAACGAGCATCACGCCCCTCTAGTTGTGACTGCACAAGCTCCAATTTATTTTGAACAAGAACCCGTCGAAACGTTGCCTTTCTTTGAATGTCTTGCAACATATTGTTGTATTTGTTGAGGATAATATCGCGATCCTCTTCTAGTTTAACGAAGCGCTGAGAAAGAACCTCGTTTTCCCATGAAAGTGTGCGCAGCTCCTGCTCTCGTTCTCGCACATTCATCTTCATCTCCCGAAGTTTATCTCTATCACTAGAGTAATTGATAAGTTCCTGCTCTAGCTCTCGCTTCTGCCGCTGCAGCTTCGCTAAGGGTTCCGTAAGTTTTTTGTTCCTTTGTGCAACATCCATCATTGCCCGTTCGTTGTGTGCCTCAGTCCGTTTTCTAGCATAAACCTCATCCTTTAGGGTGCGAATGGTTTCCAAGTTGTTTGAAGTAATTTCACTGTAATATTCTTTCATTTCCCTAAAAGTGCGCTCGTGCGTTTCTCGAAGTTCGGCAATGTGGTCACCCTTGCGCTTTTCTATTAGACCAATCTCCTCGCGGCGCCGCTGATCCATTTCATCCCGTAGATCTTTCATTTTCTTTTCGTATATAAGGTGCATTTCTTTATTTTTCGCTCAAAGGCAAGCTGCTGCTCCGCAATCTCCTGGTCATGAGAAAGAGTGAGGGCCGACGTCATATCTCGATGCTCATTTTCTTGCGCCCGCAGCATCAACTTGGCATCACGGATCTCCCCACCACTATTCCTCTCCTTTTGTCGATACTCCTCCTCCCGTATAGCCAAAGTCCTCTCCGCCTCACTGATCATCTCCGCAAGTTGAAGCTGGTGTTCATACATCATGTGTCGAATTTTTTGCTTAAACACTTTCTTCTCTACTTCCTGGCGCTCTTGGGCTTCTGCTTTGTCATTCTCTCGTTGCCGAAGCTCCGTCTTGAGATCCTCCAACTGTTTCTTGGTCACCTCCCAAAAAGAAATAATCCTATCGCGTTCCAACTGAAAGTAATTGCGCATCGCCTTTTCCTTTTGTAGGGTGTCCGTGGCAAGCCATAACTCTCGTCCGTCCGGTATTGGCGGTGGGGGGGCAGACGGCACAGCGGCGATGGACTTATTTTTCCTTGCGTCATTTGCGGCCCCCTTTGCCTTTGACCGAGTGGCAACTGCCCTTTCCTTTGGTGGCATCGACGCCCCTCCTTTGTTTCACACAAGTGGTTGATACAGAAAGCTTGTGATGGATAGAGTAGAAAGAAAAAAAAGTCAAAATGCCTACTGTTTTAATACAAGAGAACATGTAACCTGTAGGGATGTGCAAAATTCCAAAAATTACGGCAGAGAATATATATATATGTATATATATAAACAAAGGAGAATGGAAGTAAATGGTGTAAAAAAAAATCCACCAAAAGGTATGTTTTTAATTCAAAAGTTACACGTAAGGGCTAATATGTCGGTTCCGCTTGAAACTTCTGTAATTTTTTGGTAGAAGCTCAGATAACGTTGCCTTCTTTGAGGTCTTTCGGCGGTGGAGCCACAAGTTCGTCCCAGGAACTGCTGGGAAGAATGTAACCGTCAAAGTGTCGTGTTGTATACTGCATCGTGGTATCGTGACTATAACGCTGTTGCACCGCAACGTACTGATTGATGTAATAAAAAAGTAAATCGTCCACATCCCCACGGTACAATGGTTTTTTCGACTCTTCTGCGCAGTGCTTTCTCTTGTTCGAAATGAACTCCCGCAAAAAAAAGTAGATAGCCTCAACTGTCGCTAAGTAGGTGGGATCATTGCTCTGAAAGCGCCAGAAGAGCGACGTCTGGGACTTGATGCGCACCTTTTTAAACCTGCACACGCGCTCGTCACGCGCAATGGCCTTACTCTGCTGCCAAGTACTGTCAATAAAAACAACATTCTTAACAGAATCCAAATCCTTGATATCGCTCAGCTCCGTGCTCTGACTGCTTGGATACAAGACGAGCGTCGATTCCAGCTCCAAACTACTTGGCACCTTCGGATACTCCACAATATGCAAATCGGGAGAAATTGTAGATGCAGCTAGACTCGTGCTTTTCCCACGAATTTCACCCGGGTGAAGAATAACGTACACGTTCAGTGGCAAGAAAAGAGGTGGAGGATGACTCTCTGGATGCACGACAGTCAGGCAGTCATAGCAATAATACTGTCTGCGCTTCCCGCAGTTTGCGCAAGGTCTACGTCCTTCTTGTTGCCTTAAACGGTAAAGTGGAACCGAGAATTGTAGAGATCGAATAAAGTCAATAATCTTCCTGCGCCGTTCCTCAGCCCCCTCGGTGTATACTTCCCGCACACGTTTCATGAGCCAGTCACTACCAATACCACTACTAATAATACTAATATAAGTAAATCCCACCCACAGGAAAAAAAGTAAAAAAAAAAAGAAGTTCTGCAAAAAAAAATTTAATTCCGTAGTAGCTTTAAAAAAAAAAAAAAGACATTAGAACTTTAAATTTAAAATCTTTTTAAACATCATATTATATATATGAAACTTCTGTGAGGATTAATAGTCAATGCTACTGAGGCTACATTCGCCATCAGCAGGTGTATACCACAGGAAGGTTGAAGCGAGAGAAAACGACCCCGGATTAACAACACGAGCCCCCTTGTATGTGCACTCCCATTGTTCTGTGCTATCACATAGGACGAGCAGGTGTGGAAGTGCCAGCAAAGAAAGAGCCCCATCTGCCTTCCACAAGATCCCTTCCTTGACTTCTGGTGCCAAATGTGCCTCATCCAGGATAGTTTTTGCAACGCTTTCAAAAGAGCTAATAGAGTTTGGGGTTTCTACTACAGAACGATTAAAAGCACGTCCACTTCCTTGAAGAGATCGAAAAAAGTCTCGGCGAGTCACCACTATCTCATGCGTAAAAAATCTTAACCGGCACGGATTGGGGGCAAAAAATACCTTTTTCAGACGAGCCTGCAATGTCCTCGTGAAAACGCTCACAATTGGAGGCTGTGGTAAAACACCTAAAAGTCCCGTGACGTCGTTAGACCCAGGAACAAGAACAACTTGCGTATGTTGAGCAACACTCGGTGCGTGTGTTGTAATCACCATTGCAAGGGTATCCATAAGCAATTTATAGCGGTTAGATCCCTCAAATGGGTCAGGAAGATGAGAAATATCGTCGTAATGAATCGTCGAAGAAGAAAAATCGCCCACCATAACCAAGGTCGTGTTCATAAGTTCGCTTTCTGTCCGATTCTGCATCTCCTTGAAAAAACAGACTAATTTATTCACTGTCGATGTTTGATCAAGGTGAACGTGCGACATCACAATAATTACAGCTTGAAGTGAATTTTTTTCCCGCAGATGTGCAGCCGCCATATCGGTTGGTCTATAACCAAAAAGATCGTAATCTGAACCAATGTCCCGAAGAGTATCTTCTCGTCTCTCTGCTGGAGGAAGCTCTATGCTGACAACCACAAGAACGCCACTAGACCATTGCCCTCGTACTAAAACAAAAAAGCCATCCCCCACAAAACCAATGAGTGGAGGCACACCACCAAGAAATGTGAGTCTGACTCGACCGTGTAAGTCTTCTAGGCAAATCTCATTGAAACCCCTTCGAATCATTCCTAACACCGCCACATTTTCAGAAGGATCTATTCCCTCAAGCGCTATAGTTGAAAGTAAGGGTGGAAGATCCTGATTCAAAGACTGTTTGTTAAGATCCCTTCGGAACAGGCCGCTTCTCAAACAACGCCTCCTCGTAAATAAATATCGCTGACGAAGGACAGTGAAACGATCAATATCACGCTCTGCGCGCTGCACCTTTATTTCACCTGTTTTTTCATCCATATACACATATGGTATTTCCTCCAAAGGAACAGGAAAAACAGTTGAAACACCTTCCCTCTCGGATATTCCTCTATCCCTAACCGATTGCTGTGTAATAGCTAACCGCATTTTTTTATCATCCACAAATCGGTCCCCTGCACACAGTTTATGAAGAAGCGCAAATAGATCTCGGAGTGCATCACGCCGCTTTTCACTGTCTCCTATAGTTGAAAGATGATCTGAGAAGCTTTTCAATGCGGAAGGATGAAGTCGGTACTGGTAGGCACGCGCCATAAACTGAATTTCAGCGCGGTAATCCTGCATGGTTCACCTATTAAAAAAAAAAAAAAAGAAGCAATCTTCCCCTTGGCCTTGGCCACAAGAAAAAAAAAAAAAATGCAAGAAGCAAATAATAATAATACTAAAGCTGGAAGAAAAAAAAGGTGAAAAACTGGCAAAATAAAAGCAAGCTTTCCCGCCAGCAAAAAAAAAAACTACTCCTTATCTCAGGGTAAAAGCAAGCCGAGAAGAAAGGTATCATACCCCCAGCAGCTCCAACAGAGAAAAATCATTGCTGTTTTTTTGTTTTCTCTTCACAGTATTTGCCTCCATGTGCAAAATCGCAACATTCCACATTTTTTCACTTTCTTTTTGATGAACGTCCATGATGCTTTCTGCCTTTTCGTTTCCCATCAGCGTTACCCCTTTCTGTCAATTCGATATTTCGAAGAAGAAGAGAATCCGCATCATGCAAAGCATTCCTATCGTAGGGAAGAGGCTCGGTCGTCTTTGCCCACCTCAAAGGAATTGTGGGGAAAACGCCATATGGAAAGCTAAAGTACTTTGCAGCTGCCTCAAGCAATTGCTTGATGAAACTGCCCGCCCAGTAGCGCCATTTTTCGTCAAAGAACAAAGAACAAAAGGCCCCAATGTCAAAAATCGCCTCTCCCGTCTCTTCATAATACTGCAAAATACCCTCTAGTTGTTGCAACCTCAACTCCGCCGCTGCTGTCTTTTGATCCTTTTTGCGACGCTGCAACTCAGAAACCTTTATTACCGTATTACGCTCCAGTTCTTCAGAAATAGGACTTAGAGGAAGGGACTTATAGCAGTGTTCAAGAAAGTTGAAAGATGTACTACTATCTGTCAACCCCAAGTGGATCGCCTTGCAAACACGAAGGAAATCAACTTCAGAGCATTTATCTAAACGAAAAATCCCATACAATTTATTCCCCAAAAAAACACTGTTAATACCTACTGAAGCAAGGTACTCATAAAAGCAAGCCTCTGATACCTTGTAATCATCGATAGGAAGTGCAAAACGACGCATTCCATTCCATATCCCTTCCATACAGGTGCCTTTCCATTCGTCCTCTAGCTCCAATTGGCGTATTACTCGCGGTTCGTGTGTCGCCCGCCTCCTCTCCTCATAACCCATATCCCATGGCTGAGGTTCCTTTTGGCTAGCATTCTGAAGGAATGCTCGTATTCCCTCATCCCATGATCCCAAAGTAGAAAACATTCCTGGAAGAACAAAAATATATGCGCATAAAGAATCCCGAGGCCATACCATGGCAAACATCCGTTTGTTTAATAAACCAAAAAAAGAAAAAAAAAACGTAGTGTAACGCAGGAAAAAAAATTGGCGAATATGTACTCTCCACAAGTGAAAAATACCCCACAACCAAAAAATAATAATAATAATAATAATAATAATAATAATAATATATATATATATATATGGAAACATGGCTGTGCTCTCCATTGTAGGTAAGGGTATACATTAGCTTCCATTATTTAAAAAAAAAATGTTTTGAGCAAGCAAAATATCAGTTGCATTTACATGTCCATGGCCTAACCCAAATTGCAAAAGGAGAAGGTAGTGGATAGGGTGGCCTTTTATAACAAGAACGGTATGTCGTTTTGAAGTCTCGATTTTCAGGTTCTGATCTCAATTTTTCCTTTTTTGGTAAAGCAGACGGTGGGTGAATTTTAAAATTGTAATCGCTCCTCATTGTGGATTTCCCCCGGAACGGAACCGCATTTGTAATCGCAACCGGTGTTGAATATGTCTCGAGTGTGATAGTTTTCTTTGAAAACGCGTCTTGATACGTGGAGGAATACCCAAAGCTAGGGACAATTTGTTTTTTCTCAATAGGCTTCAAAGAAAGAACCCGTTTCACTTCATTACGTCGAAAGGCCCTTATTACGGGACGGTTCATTTCGTTATATGTTGTTGTTTTTTCAAAAAAAAGAGGTTCTTCCAATATTTTTGTCCTCGGCACAAATGCTGTTTTTGACCGAGGGAATCGAATGTCTAAAATAATCTTCTTCATACGTTTGTTCCCCCAAACTCCATCACGCTTTTTGAGGATAAAAGACATTCTACCTGACTTGTTTGTGTATTTGGGTTCACAAGGGTCTTAGGCCGTGTTTTCAGGGTTTTTGGCCATTTGTAGCTCTCATGCATGGTAGATTCCTCAAAATAACATTGAGGTATTCTAGTTTTTTCCGGTTTTTGCGGATATCGTCTAGTCGCCCCAAGAATATTTTCCATAAGTATTGATTTCTTGCTTCAATAATAAAAAATATATCCTGAAAAACAACAAATAAAGAGAAAAAGGCTTAGTAAATGTGGAAAAAAAAAAGATAGACATAATAAAAACAAATAAAAAATATTAAGCTTAGGAAGGGAAATCGGTATAAGTAAACAGCAAAATAAAAAAAAACGCATAAAAATCCGTAATCAACTTCCTACCAGAAAAAAGAGACAATACTAAACAAGACTTCTCGATATCTTTTGTAAATTTGCAAGCTCTGCCGATAATGTTTTATTCTCTTTTTTGACCCGAGTTAATTCTTGGCGGACGCCAAGTAATTCACTAACTAATTCTCTATTGCGCTCGTGCACGGCATCGGCTCTTGCGCGCTCTCGAGACAACTCCAGTTCATGGTTAATTATCCCCTTTTTCATCGTCTTATCATATTCCTCAAAGCCTTTTACTGCCTTCAAATGCTCTTCATTTCTTATTTCTTCTTGTACATTTCTTTTTTTCATCAATTCCCTCAATTCTGAAGCACGTTCCTGATTAGCATCGGCCCTTAATGTCTCTTCGTGTAAAGTACGCAATAAAACATTATTAAGTAAATACGTTCCTTTGGCATCCTGCTGAATAAAAAAACAATACGCGCCCAAAACTAATGTCACAGACCAAGCGGCAATCATGCTTCCTTTGGCCGCAGGTGCTAGCCACCATCCTCTTAGCCGATTCAGTGGGGAAGAAACATCCCTCCATGGAGTTGAATCACCAGGAGCTTGTCGATGTGTTCCCTCGTGAAAAGTTGCTTGGGCGTAACGATGAACGTCGGGCTGGCCACCCATAAGAAAAGAGGACGTAAGGTTCATTCTCTACAAGAAAGAAAAAAGAAAAAAAGAATATATATATTATCATTCTTAGTGGCTTTTTCTTATTCACACACGGAATTGACAAAAAAAAAAAAAATTTCCGGAGAGCCCACCTTCCAAAGCAAATTGTTTCTTATATATAATGTGGAAAACAAATAATAATAATAATAATAAATCAGAAAAAGAGCTCGGTAGTAAAATTATTGACTATTATCGTCTCCTTTCTTAAAGAGTTTCATGACTCCGGAAAGAAATCCAAAAACGCACGGGTTCGATCCATTAATCCCAAAAGCCGAGCAGGTTTCGAGAAATCCCAGAGGATCACGAAGGGCCAAACCTAAAGATGCCGCAGCGGCAGAAACTTGTGGATTTCTCACCTGTTCTACTATATCTGCTGTTGGATCTGTTCCCTCAGGAAGAAACTGATGCAGTTTATACATAAAAAAGGCTGGATCCTCATGTAATGCATCAAGAAGCTTCTTTGATCCAATAATATCAGCCAAATCTACATCTTGCTCCAATCCATTCCGCATGTTCCGAAGAATACCCTGAAGGACAACTTCAAATTCAGCTCTTTTTCGATCACTCGGCCGTAGATCCCCACCAATTAGTTCTTGTATTGTGGAAAAATATGTGGAATCGTTTTCGGTTGTTTTTTCCTGAAGCCAATAGAAAATAGGAGGTCGCCTATTACCAAAGTCAAGCAGGAACACCCTTCCCGTGGTACATTTCTCTACCTGGCTGAACTTCACTTCTCCTCGGGGAAGATCATGCTGTTCTTCATCAGTTCCTGAGATCCACGTCATTTTCACATCATTGTTTGGCATCTTAAAAAAAGACAATGTACCTCTACGGCGATCCGCTTCGACCTTACCATCTTTGAAATTCATCTTTCCCGCACGAAACTGAATAACGCATTCGCCGCCGCGCCCTTTTCTCTGCATTTCTTCTCTTAATTCCTTAATTTCCAAATTGCGTAAAAGTCAAGACAAGAAAAATATATATTGAAAAAGACATAAAAATTACATCCGTATTTTATTTCTGTACTTGACTAAAATCTAAAGGGTCAAGATTCTGCTTGCTGGAATTCAAGAAGCAAAAATAAAATAAAATAAGAACATCCAAAGATGTCTTATGATGAGAGAGCAAAGAATATCCGCTAGGGCAGCTAAACTGAAACCTGCCTCGCCTTCTATTTTTACACTGTTTCCCCACGTCCCGCTCCCACCCTTCCCAGCTCCAAACCCCACCCCAAACGACCCAAAAAGTTCCAAAAAAGCCATTAAAAGTCACTTTAGTACGAGGCCTGCTTCACATGACCAAGCTTCAACTCAAACGGAAGCCAATCAAGTGGGGTGGGGTCACGATATGTCATTGGACCAAGTGGACTAGCTATTTGCACATTTCGAATGCGGGCCCAACCTGGAATCGGTGTTAGGCAACGATCTTTAACATCCTCATATGAAATATGCTCTGTCATGATTACCATATCACGATACTGCTGATATGTTCCAACAACGCCAATGGCAATAGACATTAAACATAATGTATAACCGCAACTGAGGAGTGGATACCTTCTCACTTTGAATATAAACCCCCACTTTTCTTGAGATCCAGCCGCAGTTGAAACGTAACCATACTCAGTTTTGATATTTCCTAGTTGAAGCCGCGTCGCCTTCGAAAGCGTGGGTGCAAGGCAATAATTTGAAAGCCGCATTTAAACTATTCAAAAAACTATGCAATAGTATCTTTTCCCCGTTCAACCCTTTCCTAATGAAAATTTATACCTACTTTTTGTTTTAAAAATAAAAAGGAAGATAGGAAAACATATATATATATTACTATTATTAACATCAGCAAAATATCATCAACTAAAAAAAATACTTTATAAAGTATCAACAACCAATAAATATCCACCCAAAAACAGAAAATTCATTTATTTACACGCATACAAGAAAAAAAACTCTCGGCAGAAAAAAGTGTGCGATTTTAACGAAGTCTCGTTCATTCAACACAAACACAAAAATCATCACCCATAACTAAGCAAATAAAAAACAACAAAAAAATGCAACGCATCAACAAAAGAAGAAAGCGCAACCTCAAAATAAAAAAATCTCGGTTATCCCTCCCCGTCACCTGGCAAACTTGGCTCTCCAAAAAAAGATTCAGAATAATCTTCTGGGCCATTGACCGAATCCTAAAATTATCTCTATAGAAACCAAACAAGGTTGGAGAAGAAAGGATTTTCGCAGAGTTAGTTCATTGCCTCCATGATTCTCTTTCATTCAATATATAAATTCTGTGGACCACCGGCATAGTCTTTTGTCCTCAGAATAATATTACTTACGAAGTGGCGAACTTTGGGGTCCTCCAACCACAAGACCCCGCCGCTCCCCTTCGCAAGTCCTGAAGTGTAAAAACACGACCGCGTGATATTCCGTCTGCGGGGTTTTACGCTGACCGCACGTGGACAAAGGATGCCTGTATTCCGCGAGAGTCCAAAATTCATGTATCCGTTGCAGCTCCCACGTCTTGGCGTGTGATTTTGAGCTGCCTTTATTCGCCGCTCCTTGCAGCGAAGTGTTGTCCGCCCAAACGTCCATGGTGGATGGCAAGATGGCGGAAAAGGCCGATAAGGCTAAGCGGACCGCGCGCCTCGGCCTGCATGATAAGAAAAGACTTCCTCTCCCATTTCCCTCCGGCAGTTTTAACGTCGCCGGAGTCTGGGACGAAAACGGCTCCCCATCAATGAAGCGATGCATCCGCGCTGATGGCGAACACTGCCTTTTCCGTGGGCTTGATGATTCGCCTATTATTATTCTCGATGGTGTGTCGCAATCTCTCGCCCAAACCAACCGCTGCCGGCGGAAGGTTCGCCGGGGATGTCTCCAGCACAATCCCCCGGTTAAATGCCGATAATCGTCGTCGCGCTGCCTTGATGGAAAAGGTAGTAGTCGCATAAACGCGTGCACAAAATGGCCGCCGCGTACAAAAAATATGACGCCATAAACTCCATTTCCAAGATTGTTAAAGAATTGAGCGCCGGCATGGCGCGCACAGACCGGACAAACTTGTCACTCAGGGATACCGCGCGGTGTGCGTGATCAAATTGCGCCCCAGGAAGGTGCAATGCGTAGCGCCCGATTCGCGTTCCTCCCCCAAGGATGCGTGACAACTGTCCGCATTACGAAGCACTAGGGCCTCCCACAATGTCACATCGCTTTTCGACCCTGCAATGCGTATATTACCGACCCATACGTCGATACGCACCAATGGAGGTGCAGCCCAGAGGCGGTGAACCACCGTCGTCACCACCGCAATTGCCGAAGTAATGGTCTAGAAATTTCCTGGGCCGGTCTTGTATCCCATTGGGAGCCGTGTCAGCTCCACCAGCGTGCCGTCCTCCACGCGGCATCGAAAGAAATGCCGAGTCTCCCGCGGTAAAGAGATTATGAAGGACGCCTTCACATCCAGGCAGGAAACGGCCTCAGCCATCACAGGTGACAAATAATGGGAAATGTGTAAAAGAGGAACATTCGCCTCGTAAGGGTCATCTCTGTTCTTGTCGCGTGGCCACGCGATCCATCGTCGTAAACCGGTGGTTTTCTCCTCCACAACTGAGAAAGGTATTATCCATCCGCCTGTTATTGTGGACGAAGCGTCCTCGATTATTCCTGCTTTTCGTAACAATCTCGCGTCCGCGGTTGGAATCCTCCGTGAGCCTTCGCGCGCTTTAACGGAGGAAGACGGAGGGAGAGGGGACCGCCCGACGAGTCCCCAAACTTGCATGAGCCTCTCCAAGGTAGCCGGGTGCAATCGGCTCTGGATCCACTCTAGATTCAATACGGGCACGTTGACTTGCTGTAGCGGGGTAGCGTGTTCATCTTGTGGAGTGGCCAGACGCGTCCTTGTCGCGCGTCTCGTTATTGTAGCGGCATGATGATAAAAATCACGGAAAAACGCTCCTCCGCTCTCAACCAGAGTTCTTGCCCTTCCGCCGTTTCTCCCTTCACATCAATGCGACCAGCGCCAACACCTGGGTCAGCATTGTGGCGTACCTCCCCAAATAACAAACAGTATTCTGGGGAAGGTCAAACGGATTGACGTGCTTCGCCAACTGCGAGATCACGTGTGGATCCAAATTGTATGTCTCCACGATTTGAGCAGCGTGCCGCAACACACCGCGTTTTATGGAATGCGCCGTGGCATCCCAAGGAGCTAGGGCTCGTTCGACTTTGGTAGTCGTAATATTCGTGAGCTTTTCGTTGTGTTGAAGTGTCCTGCATAGCTTTATAATGTCGAAAGCGTCCTGCCCTCGTCTCCTGTCGGAAAGCGGGGCACGGTGGGGATCCGCCCTCGCCGTCCTTGGCGCGACGGACAAATCCAAAATTAAGGCCCCGTCCGCCTTCAGTGTGAAATTGTTGGGGAGTCAAGACCGCAATCTCGGACCAACGACTCGCCGTTATCCACGCGAGTCGTAAGACGACACGTTCCTTCCAGTCAGTCCGGCTGCGGATTACTTGATTCATCTCTTCCTCTGTCACGGGGCTCGTTTGCTTCGTCTCCGATCGCGCCACGATTTTTGTAGCCCCAGAATCACCATGTCCAGCGGGGTTCGATCCATTTCCAACATGGACCGCAGCATCCTGCCGTACTGCAGTCGGGTCAATGGCGCCACTTCGATTGCCATCAAAAAGACCGCACAGCTCTCCTCGTTCATCGTGCGTTCGTGCGTGCGGCAAAAAGGTCGTAAATTGCCCCGCGAGGGACATTCTCTGCTCCCACGTTGACGGCGCGCACATCTCTCGAGCCACCTCGTTCGCTTTCCTCATGTAGCTTGTCCAAAGCGGGGATGTCGGTAATTCGCCGTACCACAGTCGAGCGTCGTTGGCGGATAATCTCCATTGCCCTTCCCGACGATTGCGTCGGGCGATTTGAAATATAGGCTGGAGCATCGGCGGCGCGCTGCCTGTGAAGATTGGTGGGAGGTGGCGGATTGGATGGAGCTGCGGTCGTCAGCATTCATGAGCGGCGTGCGGCAGCCCCTCGGCCGTTTTTTGATGGGCGCCTGTATTGTAATTCCCTCTCGGACGCACATTGCATGTAGACGCCTCGTGTCCAAAGATATGACATTGTTGGCATCGCAAAGTGCGTTGGGTTCTCGCCGATCGACGAAAAGCCGCGCTGCCCTCGCATAAGCGTCCGCCTGGTGAACAGCGGTGTGTAGACGGGCACGCGGTTTGGAAAGCCGGATGCCGGGATCGGATGCAATTGTGAGCTGCATCCGGAATGTATTCAGTAGGGACCTCCCCAAATTCATGATTCGATCGGTGGGATCCTGCCCGCCCTCCAGTACGCCGATCCACTCGACCAAATTGCCAAAGGCAAGTTTAACCTGCTCGCCGTCCTGTTGCCAGCATTGGTATGCGCACCGGAGGTCGAAAACGACTCCGGAGGCGCCCTCATTCCATATGCGCGAGGACCACGTAGTGACGTCGAATGCGCAGAAACCGCGGTCCTCTTCCATGGGCAATTGGGCGTCCAGGGGAGAAGTGCGGGAGGGCGACGGCGTGGAGAGGTGGAAATGTGGTCTCCCAACATTACCGTGAGAGAGTCTGGGGAATATCCAGCTGTCTCTCTCGCGCCGGAGTTCGTTGGGCCGTGCGTGACGACGCGCCCACAGCCATCAAGCGATGCTTTTGAAGTAGCTGTTTCGTAACGCCGTCTTCGACCGTATTTTCACGCGCGACAAGTCCATCTGCCAACCCTCTCCGAGTGGCGGGGGCTTCTTTCCTGCCCGCCATCTCCGCCTCCCACGCGCCACGCTGCGCCTCCCTAGCGCTAACGCGTGCCTCTCGTTCCTGTGGTTTGGTGCGGATTGTCTCCGACTGCCGTCCGCGTCGGGCGAGCACGCGTTCTCATTCTGGAATGAGGCCGCCGGCGACCGCATTTTCAGGATTCGCGCGTCGATGGGTTGTCACGCGCCTCTTCCACCCGCAAATGAGGTTGAACGCCTCGATTCTGCACGTCCACAGCGGCGTGGGCGCTTTTCGTGCTCAAGCGCTCCCTT